AGCAAATGTCTGGGGTTGTTGGTTGACACCAAGGTGGAAGGCAGTGAAACCATTGAATGTTTGTTTTTTTGTTGGTGGAGAGGCTAAATTCATCAGCTAGTCTAGTGGTAGCTTCTCCATCCTGAGAACCACTCTGTTGAGAGAGTCAAAAAGGCTGCTTGAGAATGCCAGTTCTTAGCCTGAACAGAGAATAGACCATCTTGGAGGTATTTATTTCTAGACTCCATTTTTCAGTGCATAAGTAGAATGTATGGAGATCTTCTTGCAAATTTTTGTGTAGTGGTTGTACTCCTTCCAGAGTCATAGGTGAGATAGTGTTCTTAATCCAGAAAATACAGTCATATCCAGTTATTCAGACCACAATTTAAGCTGCCACTAATTCAGAAGGAATTCTTAAGTACCAAAAGAAACCCTATAATAATTATTTGCTTATTTGGACCAAAATTCCATTTAATCAGACCAAAGAACATGCGAGCAAAAAAGAATCCACAAGTCACCACTTAGAGCAAGTTAGGTCAACAAATATGAGAGGATTTCTGGGATCCCCAGCTTAGGAGCAGCTAATGAACATGGGCACAATAAAAAGATCTTCTATTGTGCAAAGTTGGTAAATATGTTCTTGAAGTTTGCTGACCTCATTGTTACCAGCTAGAAAAATCAGGACTAAAGTCAGCATCTTTCAATTTTCGTACATGGTTGATAGTTAAGGAAAAATAAGCAGCAAGACTTTTAAGAACTGTTGTTACCCCCTGTGAATTTCAGCATTTGATCTTGGAGGTGAATGGTGACATGCTGATTGAAAGTGAAAATGACAACAGTATTATGGAACTTCAATAGGTTGAAAATTATGAAGAATGTATATATATATATATATTGACCTTCAGTGCTTTGATGATGCAATAGTTGTTCGAATAGTAGAGAAACAAATGACTGCATTTGAAGTCCTCTAATGAGTTTGTGCAAGTGACAATGCAGCGTGCTAGGAAATGCATGAAAACTGTTGCTGCGTGTTGTTTGTATATATACATACAAACAAAATATAAAGGATTGAATTCTGTGGATTAATACTATACTGTTGCAATAAAAAAACGATTGAAAGTAGAACATTTTCATACTATAGATCATTGTCTGTCGAAGGAGGACACCACCTCGTGTAGTACCCAACGGTATAAGTTTACATTTTTACTAGACCTTAATCTGTGATCTTTTTATCAGCAAACTTTGATTTAAATGCCTTTCCTACTTCTGATGATTATTTCTTGAAACATTTTTTTATTTCTTTGCCTATGACCAACATGCTCTTTCTGTTCACAGGAGCCTGGCCAGTTTTAATTGATGACTTTGTAGAATATGCAAAACCAGTGATAAATAGCAGTAGGAGCACTGTGGTATAGTTGAGACCCCAGTTTGTTGTACAAAATTGTGATTTTATACCTTTGTTTAGCCTTTCAAGTTTGAATCTGCTAGAATAGGAGGGTAACTTTATTTTAACTGAAGAAAAAAAAAGGTATTTTCCAAATGATGAAGCTTTAATGTAATTTTTTATTTTGTTTTCTTTAATAGTTCTTTTGCTTAGAAAACATTTCCTCTGTTTAGATAAATAGAATCTCCCAATAATTTATGAGAAATAATATATCTTGTAGATTATAATTAGTTTCTCTCTTTAAGTTTATGGTTATATCATTCAATTATTGGAATGTTAAGTTAAATGAAATACAAAATTATTATTTTTGCTTGTTTGTTTGTTTTAATTGCCGTAAAAAATATTTTAAAACAATTTTTTTAAAGAAAATACTTTCTTCCGAAAATCACTGTGAGGTGTAATTTAATTTTTCTTGTGTTGGCTATTGCCTAGTTCACATGTTTACATTCAACACACAGGCAACTTGAATCAGTGATACCCTGACTTGCAAATGATATTATCTCTATGGCAGAATTTTAGATATTGCTCAGACTTAGCAACAATCATAAGTGCATCATCGGCCACCAACTAATAAGCAAAATATCCTAAGTATCTTGACATGGTGGTCTTGAGGCTTTGGCAGTGCTGAATGCAAAGTCTGAGCATTTGGTTCCAATTTTATTTCCAATAAGTTAAGATTCTTTTTTTTTTTAACTTTAAATTTCTCAAGTACATTTCTTTTATTAATGAAAACATCTATACACTTACACTAAAACCAATCTAACATTTTTCACTGTAAATGTTTTTAGTGTCTGCTATGTCTCTTTAATTGTGTGTAGTTACAGATCGAGTATCCTGGAAACAAATCTCACTTTCTTTAAAGGCTAGTCATAAAACCTATACACATTTAGACGAAATACCCCGGTAATTAGTCAATTAAATTCACCTTTTTCTATATATTGTTCAAGGCACAAAATTCTTTGTTTATTAAATGCATGTTTAAAAAATAAAAGGTTAAGTTCCCCTTTCAGACCTTTTGCTTTTGAAAGCAATAAGCTATAGTAAAACTACTGTTGGCTAGCTATTTACTTCAGTAAATCTGTTGTGTGCTGGAGTTTCCATTAGAAACTGTTTTGATATTTTATCTATCTTGAGTCTTTAGCTTTACAGTTAAAACATGTACATCCTAACATACTAGTCTAGTTATCTGACAAAACAAGAATCAAAACTTGCTTTTTTTCATTAAATTTGTTTTTCCCTTATTACATGATTGAAAAGCTAATATTTGATATCTACTAGCAATAGAGATTTTATTTTGGTTTGTTTTCCATGTTCTCTTGGTTGTATAATAGTGTATTTATTTGAAGAAAAAAAATCTGTTTTTAAAAAATATAGAAATTGTCTAGGTTTAAGTAGATCACCACTTCTTATAGAAAGAAATGAGGTTACAGTTGCAAACGTATATTTTGAAATTTATGATATATGTAAAAGTTACAGCTTCTGCCTGATGTATTTGTGTGCATATTTTCAAAAGAAAACTACCCCTGACTAATAAGGGATGAACTAGAGGTCAGGCATTGACTTAAACTTATTCACTTGTAGTATCTTTCTTTTCATCTCTCATTCATACTGTTTGTACTATTAGAAAACAACAAAAGAGAATTGAGGGTAAAAAGTGTTTTTCAGTTTGAAATATTGGTTTTTATTTTGTATTTTGATGTTACAAATCCAGTTTAAACTTAAGGTCTTCTTTGTTTTATCCATAGTTTGACTTTGTAAATAGTTCCACAAACCACATATTTTTCTATGCTTGTAAATGTTGGGAAATTTATGTTTAATTTGTCATTAGTTGAATGGAAAGGACTTTCATTAAATCTGACAAAGTGAGAGGATCTGTTAGTTTGATAAGAAATACTTCACTAGTTGTGTTAACCCATCTAGCATAATGTGGCTATTTTAATAAGTGGTATTGAATTGAAGTGAACTTATTCAAAGAAACTATTTCTTTTATTTATTATTATTTTGTTTATTTCAAGAGTGCATTGATATAATTTCATGACTTTTTTTTTAAACAACATTGTTCACTCTTTTGATGTATGTAAATAAGTGAAATGGAAGCCATTATTGTCTTTTTTGTTTTTATTTTGGGTCTGAATGTATTTATACTTGTGGTTATGTCTGGGTGAACTTTTACTGCTTGAATCAACTATCAGTTTTTTTCTGGTAATGTCCTATGATACAGATGATCATGTTCTGTGTAGACAGTACTTGGGAGTTTGTTTAGGTTTATTGTATGAGTGAAGGATGAGATACCGGAATGAAATGATGAATGCCGTTACAGTAGAGTAGACTTTTGAGTGGTCAATGTGAAATGTATAGGCACAGGATTGGGAAGGAAAAAGTTTGAAGGCCATTTCTGAGTAGAATGGGCTTCCTTGCTGTTTTTTTGGGGGGGCTTCTAAAGAAATATATTTATATATTCAGAAGCTTTACTTGTTTCTATAAAAGAAAAGTTCTTCATATACTGGATATTATTTTACTGAAAAGAAAGAAGAAAAAGAAATGTAACTGTGATTGGATTAAGTATGACTGTCATCATGACCTATTGTTTGTAAGGCTTATTGCCTAGCCTTTTTTTTAAATCCAAACATAAGAATTGAATAGTATTTCTTTTCCTACATATGTAGACATTGGGTGATGAATGAAATGGCACAAGAATCGCAAACACAAAGAAAACAAAAATGTTTGTAAGGCATTGAGTTGACTTTGTTTGAAAGTAGTTTGCTCTTCTGACAACCAGAATATAGCTGCATGTGAGTTGTAGTTTTAGTTAGCACATTTCCGGCTCAGTTCTATAGGTACTCTGGTGGTAAATGGTTAAAAAAAAATACCCAACCTAAATCTTCACCCACCCCCCTCCCCACCAATTCACTTTTTCAAAATGTTCTTTTTTTTTTTCATTGAGGGTTTTTATTGGCCTTTAGCCTCATAATGTGTGTTCTGACTTGTCCACGTGCAAGAAACTCCTGTCAGGTGTGATACTAGTAACTGTTTGATTTTCTCCTTCCTTAACTGAGCTCTTGATTAATTGTGTCTTTGACTTTGACCACTGAACTTTGAGCAAAACTTGTTCTTAACACTTTAAGCAACTTTTCATTTTATTTGTGACTTTTATCTCCTCTGTCTATTCATAATGCACTTTTCATACTATGTGTGAACATTTTAAAAATCTGGTTCTCTATATATGTCCGAATTTACAAAAGAAAAATTCTGTGGATGCCATTAGTGTATTTATCTAGGTTGGGTATGTATTAAAATGTTGGATGATGCTAGTTTTGATTGGAAGAGTTGGCACCAGTTAATTTGTCTTCCAGACAATGTTGCTATTGTTTCACTGTGAGATATTTAGTATTTCCCTGCAAGACATGTACAGAGTTATTCATGTCCCATGTACCTAATAACCGATTGTACAATTATGACAGTAATCATATCATCAAGGTGTTAAGAAAGGTTTAAGATTGTGGTAGATTACTCTTTGTTCAACTCAGCGGATTAGAAATAAATAATAGAATGAAATCATAAATTAACATTTCCCCCCCCCCCCCCCTTTTTTTCTTTAGTATTGGATTGAACTTTAGGCAATGTATATATACTTCATGTAATTGTTTCCAAAAATAGTTGTTGTTTTTTTAAATAACTGTACATCAAGTAGCTAAAATGTTACTGGAGAGTCTTCTAGATTTCAATTGTATTCATATTGACTAAGTTTATAGAATACAAAATGTAATATAATACATACTGAAAATAGCTCAGATGTGTTCTATACGGCATTATATAGTGCCAATGTGCCATAAACCCAATCCCCTGTCCAGCTCGGCTATGGAGGAATGTTGAAAACAGTGGAGTAGCTGGTACCATCTATGACTTTAACATCTCGAAAATTAGTGTTAAACAGTGTCTAAAATAAGCATTTATTTTTAAAAAGATACATTTGACAATTCAAAGGTAAATAGTTCAACCAAGCTGTAGTCCAGATACTTTTTGTTGTCTCCCCTCTTCTCAATAGTAAACGTTATCCCGTTGTCATTGACCCTGGTGAACATTTGGTCAACTAAAGTTTCCTGCCCCTGGATTGACGGGAGCGCCTGACAGATAACTAGGCGCTCACTCTACCTAGAGATATATCCCGAGCTGCTTTGGTAGTTGTGTGTGTGCATCTGTGTGCTTGCCGCTGTAGTCTTCAGAAATGAGGGTGCACTCGCGTGATACAGTAGACCTGTGACGTTCAGTCAAATATCTCGTGATGTTTCTGTACTTATACTATTATTACTACAAATAGATCATGCATTGTTTTATTTGAAGCCCTACCTGTTTGTAACTGTTTTTTTTAAACTATAAACAAGTCATTACATTCAAATAAACAGCTTGTTATGTTTTTCTATGTTTTTAGTTTTGTTTTGTGTGTTGTCGATGATTGAATGACATGTCCTGGTATATTCACAGCTAAAACGTGTAGTTATAATAAAAGTACAAAATGCACAACATTGTAGCCTAGTGTGGTTTCACACGTTTTGTTTTATACAACTCTTTCAAAATGCTCTAGATCCGCTATTTCTCGTTATGAAAATAATTAGAAAAATCATAAGATGCCCGGTTAAGTCATAAGATCGACAACCTTCATATTAAATAAGAAAAGAAATAAAATCTAAGTTGCTGGGTGGTTGGGCACACAATATCTAGTTTGAATCATCAAAATAACTATATTTCCTTAACTGGATCTTGGCTGAAATATAAAAAAAAACTCTTATCGACAATATGGTGTCCGTACGTCGCCATTCGATACATAAAACACCATAATCTTCAGATACAAAAACAAAATCTAGTAAATACTCAGAAAGACACAAAGATAAAGGCGCAGTCCTTGTTTGAAATGCTCGGACAAATTTGTACAAATGCTCTATATCCTTCTTCCATAGCGCTATTAGAGCATGGAATGGGTTGCCGAGTCAGCCAGGAAAACCAATGACTTGACAGAATTTAAGTAATTTTTTAACATGTATGACTAGATGCAGGACGTAATCATCTTTTTTTTGAAGTAATGTCTGTATTATATAAGATAAAATAAGACAACATTTCTCGTTCCCTTCCATGCACGGCAAGACTTTCTTCATAACCGTATTGCCTTGTCAAAATATGCTGTCCATACTGTGCATGCTGAGTTGTGATTAGTGGCATAGAAAGAGAACATCTTTTCTTATAATTGAACTTTGAAAAAAAAGCTTTATATTCTTTTACGAAAACAAAAAGATTTTGTTGTGTTCAAAGCTAATTTGATAATATTAAGCTAAGATTGATTGTATCAGTTTAATTCGCTTAAATGAGTCAACTTTAAATTGTTTAAAAAATTCAATTCAAAGTGATGGGCGAAAAGGGCGTTAACAGTTTTTGTAGTTAGAACTTAACGCCCAATTACAAACTTTTAGATAGATTTGTCTGGAACTTGTTTATAGCAGAGGGATCAATTAAAAAAAAAAAGATTTCTTGGGTATATTAAGCTACTTATGGATTTCCTAAAACAATTTAATATAGTTTAGAAAACAATCACATCATATATACATGCAATAGGCATTTCGAGTTATTTATAGTTCAACTGGTTCCATATCTACTCGCTGCTTATATTGCTATCAATTTCTCAATATCTTTAAATGCATATAAAAAAAAATCTAACTCGCCGCATTCAATAGGTGGGAAGTCGGACCTCTTGCATTGGATTTCAGTGTAATATTTGTATAGAAGTATTGTGATAATTTGTAATACTTGGTTACAGTAACTCAAACAAAACGAAATGAAGTTTACCTATGACTTATTGATAACCCAAAAGGTTCGCTTATTATAAATAATAAATTAAAATATTCATCCGTCAAAAAAACTAGAAGTACCTACTAGATTTATGTAATTTAAATTAACTTCACCTTCATGTTCCAAAATCATTTTCGACCTTGTTTAAAAAAAAATTACAAAATCTGCATGTATTGCTTACCCAAAATAACAGACCTACTGTTAGCCTACACCTACAAGCTAAACTCCTTTTGTTATCTTTTTTTTTTTTATTACTTGAACTTAAAATTCTATGTATGACGTCATCATTTTACATAGCAACACAGATTTGTGGGGAAAAAACATGTAAATGGCATAACTGCAGGTCTTTATCTATCTATGCGCAAGCTGTTTGCGCATCCAGGAAAACAAAACTTCCGATTAGGAAGATGAAAAATAAGATGGCGGCCTCTTATGGGTCGGGCTTGCAAAGCCCACCTCCAATAGGAAGGCCAGTAGATCGAGTATTTGAAGATGCACAGTACACCGGCGAAATATATTTGAATGGAAGAAAGTTACGAGATTATCCCAAACTGTGTACTAAATATGACTTAAGTGATACTACTCACGTTGGTAAGATGAAAATGTTTCTGTGACTTTTAGATTCTAGGTACTCAAGTTACTGACTTACTGAGTTACTCACTGAGACTTAGTTAGACTTAGTAAAGTTAGTTACTGAATTGTCCGAATACTGTCATGACATAACTCATTAACTGTCCTATGTGTCTAAAATCTACACTCTAGACTACTCTAGAGTCTAGCTTACTTTCAACTATAGAAAACTTTTTTATTTTGCTTTGTAACACAAGTTTTCGACTTTCTTTTTTTTTGCAATAAAATGTCATGAATTTAATGAATCATCGACATGTCATATGAATTTAATGAATGATCATGTTACATGTAATGATAGATCTAGATATTTAGAATCTATATTTTATATAAATCGAGATCTAGTGTATATACAAGATAAAATGATTTTAAGATCATTTTAAGATGTTATTATTATTGATTGTTAATCATCAGTTATTAGGGCTAGGGAGTCAGAGACAGAGTTATCATTAATGTTAAATATCATCATTGATCATGGTTGACAATCATCATCAATTTGAAATGTTTATAAAATAGTTAGACTATGATAAATTGGTTATTATTTTTTATACTGTCTTGAAACTATCTTAAAATAGTTAGAATGTTAGATTCTAGACAAAAAATCTAGATAAGATCTAGATTTATAAGATTATATTATTTTATATTAGAATCTAGATCTAAAATAGATCTAGAAATAATATAGATCTAAAAATAATATAGATCTAAAAATAATATAGATGATAAGATCTACATTAGTAAAATCACTAAACTTAAAAGAGACATTTCAAGGACAGAATAAAAGTAGCTATAACTATAATACATTAGACACTTTTAAGATTTAGTATTGTATATTCGTAGATTGAGTAAAATAAAAGTCATGTTTGTAGGTTTTTTTTTTACCTCGCACCCTAATTAAGATTTATCTCTAATTAAGCACACTCAGTTTCCTCATCTGATATGATCTCTACAGAGTCAATATGTTGTCTTAATGTGGTCACCTGTCTATGAACTCAATTTGATGGACTAAACAAATAAGGTGGTGAGACCCACACTGCTAGAAGTAGCAACATTTTTGTGTACTTTTTCCTATCCGGCCTACTATCCTGCAGTGTTATCCGACCATGGCTGCATAGTGGAAAATGGCCAGAGTCTGAGCTATTATCTGGTGCAGCCCTACATTTGACCTTACTGACCATACCTTTCTTTGATTTCAGATTTGCTTGTAACTATGTGTAGGGATACATTACAATGCTACTAATTTTATTGCCTAGTGGTTGAGGAGGTTAAGATGTTTTCAGTTTTTTACCTGGCTCTTACTGCTGAAGAACTTTGAAATTCAAACATCAAAAGAAAATCAGTTAGAGTTCAGTAATGTTAATATAGATATAGAGTAAAGCAACCATATTGATCGGGGCATTGGGATGAAGGGTAAAGCACTTGACTTCTGAACCGAAGGGTCTTGTGTTCAAATCCTGGTAAAGACTGTGATTTTGAACTTATAGATTTTTAGGATACCTCTGAATATACCAAAACAAAATCCATGGTTTATTTGTATAACTTTTCTGACCTTTAAATATTTAAATATTTTCTCTTTCTATTCTATTTTGTAGACATTTCAAGAAACCGATTAACAGAATTGCCACATGAAGTATGTGATTACATCCATGTAGAGAGGGTCAACTGCTACCATAATGTCATTCGTTCCATTCCTGATGCCATATCTCAATTACAGACACTAACACATCTCAATTTAAGGTAATATAAGGAATATATTCAATGGAGTTTCTATTTAATAAACAGTGTAAGGCTAATAATAATTAAATAAGATAAATATAATCAGTTTAAACTTAAAAAGAGATGTTAATAATGTGTCAGGATTTTTTTTCTCAAACTAAAATGTTGCTAAGATTTTACTAGCCTGTAAATGTTGAATTTCCTTTCCTACTCATTTTCTTCTAAGCATTGTAGTGTACTGGAATGCACTAAATTTATTTTACTCCTTCTTTGACGTTGTGGTAGCTGAGTGGTAAAGAATTAAGCTTTTGAATCGAAGGGTTTCGGGTTCAAATCTTAGTTGAGCATGAGGTTTGAACTCCAATGGGTACCTGATATTAGTTGGGGAAGTAAAGGTGGTTGGTCATTGTTCTGGCCTCATAACACCTTTACATCATCTGCCCTATAAATCACAATGTTTGAAAGGATAGTTTACTTTTACTTCACTTTCTCATGAGCTAACTTGCTTTTTTTGGTCTTTTATATATATATTAACGAAAATAGGCATTTGTAAAAGCAACTATAACCTGATACATTTTCAAGTTGATTTTTTTTTTTTTTTTTTTAGAATTCAGTGCTAAATGCTTTGTTCTTAAAAATTTTTTAATTATTATTATTTTGTGTAGGTTAATAGTTTGAAAGTCAATAACAAATTTTTCAAAGTTTGCTTGAAAGTTAAAGCTCTTGTGACATGTTAAACCAAAAAAAAAAAAACTTGGCGGTTTTCAAATTCATTGTCTAGAAAGCAATAATAGTTTTTTTTTTTCTCTCTTTAGTCGTAATCAGTTAACAGTGTTACCTACTGCTCTGTGTCTACTCAATGCCCTAGAAATATTATCCATCAGCAACAATAAGCTTGTTTCACTACCTGAGGAAATTGGAAAGTTGGAAAATCTCATGGACCTGGTTAGTTGTTTTTCTTTAACTGATGTGCATTTTACAATTTCTACAAGTATTATTCATACTATGTGGTGCCTGGGAGGCAGAAGTCAGTTATTTTATACAGAATCAGTGTGGTGTTTCATTAGATAAATTACATAAAATAATTTCAAAGAGGCACTTTGCCCTAGTACGCTTCAAATATGATGAAGTAACCTTTTTAAAATTATATCATTTAATATATAAAATATAATGTAAGGAGTATGTATGTATGTTTGTCCCTATTATTCAAAACCAGTTGACCAATCTTGATAAAACT